AAATGTGCCGATACATTTACATTAACGTTACTTGCAAACGCTGTCTCAATTATTTCAAAGAATAGTATTTTAAATCTCATACTCAAGTGAGAGTTCAAAAATACCACTCTTGTAACCTTCAAAACAGCCGTGCCCTGACTGAGACTCTCGATTCTACTTATCCGATGCTCTGGAAAGGACTCATATTTTGCTTGCTAACGAACATACTGCATAAAATAAGAGAGCCCGTAACCAATACTTGCTTTGAGAGGTAATTCTCACAAAATTTATTTTCAGAGTATCTCGGCGATCAGACTTTCCGCTCAAACCAGAAGTAGCTCTAAATTCAGAAAATCGAGTAGACCTAAAAAAAAAAAAAAGCAATGCTCAAAACCGCACTGTGATATCTAATAAACCCTCAATAACATTCAAATCACCCAAGCTTGAGGGTCTGAATGTCGCGATAATTTAACTTCAAGGTGAAGACTCGAGATATCAATACAATTGCTAGCAAATTTCACTGTAATCGTGCATATCTAGCGAGAATTGAATCACCGATGCTCACGCTGCTTGCACTCTGCTCGCTCGACATTGAATTGACACTCGTTGTAATTTACTTACTAAGCGAAATTTTCGGTAACGAAACGAGCAATCACCCAGCTTTTGGAATCGTTCACCCAGTCATCCCATCGAATCACAGCTGCTAGACGTAACTCGTCTCAGCGTACACCAGTCTAAAAAAAAGTAGCTCTGGTCCAGCACACAATACTACTGTGTTCACGGCAGCATTCATAAAGAAACGCCAAACAAGAAGGCACCTCTTGATTGAGAAGTTCCATAATCGGCAGCATGGCGCAAGGAGTTGCTGTGGGTGGTGATCCATGATTGTACATATGAGCCCTCTCCAGGGGCATGAATGGAACTTGGTGACCTAGAAACGAGGCGGTACAGAAGAGAAAATAATCATATATGGCCCGAAAGTATGACTCACTGCGATGGTTTTCCCACTCTCGGGATATTAAAGCGTCAAAAGCTGTATGCTCGAGCTAAGGAGTCCGCCCAATAGAGTAAAAAAAAGTGTGCCTTTGCTTGGCAATAATATAAATTTCAATGTTGTAAACAGCAACAATAAAAATTATTGTATTAGTGGAATACTACAGCAATTTGTTTTTTTTTTAATATCTTTGCTCATTTTCACAAAACATGGCATATTCTTCCAATTTTGCTCAGACGTTCTTCTTATGAATTTATTGCCAATAACTGGGTCATTTTTATTGTATTGAGATCAGACCTGTCCAGTACTAATTATTTTGTTGTAAAATCCAATAGTTTAATGAACTGCAATTATTTTTCCGACCCTGCTCGAGCTCTCGCCTAAGAGTCTCTCGATATTTGCATGCTAGACCAGTTCACGAAAACCGTGTAAGGTGACCAGCGACACAATCGGGCATGCCGCCCAGGGTTATGCCCAGATACAGCTTGAACAGTGCCAGTTCACGAAAAACCGTGTAAGGTGACCAGCGACACAATCACAATCGGGCATGCCGCCCAGGGTGATCAGCAGATAGAGCTTGAAAGGCGACGAGAACAATAAAAGTCAAGAATAAACTTTAACAAAATTTCACAGGAATTATAGCATTACAACCAGATAAGTTTGCAAAAGTAACCCAATAGAAGTTTTGTTGTTGTTGCTTCCGCTACTTGACCAGAACCACGTTTGAAAAATCGACGTACCACAATATTTCTCCTTCAACGAGGCGGTCACACCGTGCTACTGACACAAGCGAAAACACGGTCTACCACTTACAAAGCGTTAGAGTGTGGCGTTGTAAATTTCAGAGCTCCTTCGCGCGCGCGGACTTGTACAGTATTAAAATAAAATGTACTCGTAGTCGATAATTTCGCCAGAATCGGATCGGTCTAGTACCGTACCGACTACAAGGCTACAAGACTACTATTATCAAAATAATCGTAGTTTTGTAGCCTTGGTATTGTCTTCCCACTCTGAAGTACTTCTTCATTTTCAACAGAAAACTGCGAATCCGATGTTTATTTGTGAGCTAGTCATCAATCAATATATTCAACCTAGAAGCGGCGTTTATAAAGTAGGTGGTCTGGAATGTAATTGCCAGGAGCTTACTCCACCAGCGTGATGGACGTCACTTCGAGCGTGTCGGTCCATGGTTGGGAGAAAATGATGATGTCGTAGCTGGAGTACTCGCAATTGCGGTCATCACAGGCGCCCAGCTCCTCGTCTGTATCCACGGTGCATCCAGCCACTTGGAACTTGTAGTTGGTGCCAGCCACCGTTTGCGTCTCGAGGTTCTCGATAGCAATTAGGCAGATCCTCGTGTCCACGTCCTCGTTGTATGTGCTGGCGTTGCTTGCCGCCTGTGTGAGGAGCTCAATATCGTCACTGGTTGCGTTCTTCTGCGTGTAGCCGCCTAGAATCGTAGCTCCTTGGACAGTAGAAGCCAGAGCCAAACCAGCGAAAAGAGCGATGGAGCGAGCGAAAATCATGGCGATGGAGGAGGTCGGACCTGTGAAGGTGAATAAGTGGTAGGCTTCTAAGCTGCTAGAGCTTTCGCTTGAGCAATGTGGTCTCAAGCGTTCGAGTTGGGAAGTGAGAGGCGCCCAACCCCACTGAATTTTCGTGTGCTCGACATGCGCACAGCTTTAGCTGCCCATCTTCTCCATGCATGCAGTTATGTCTGCTGCTCTTGGCTCTCGGCTTCGAGCGCCGTCCGCTTCGGTGGATCGTTGTGTGATCGCGACAGATTGCATACAAGGTCATCCCCCAGCCGTTGACATGTTCTGAACTACGATCACTTGAAGTTTGTATGCTTGACGGTGCATTGGACCGACAAAAGCGCGGCGTTCCACAGCTGGTTTAAAGTCTCACTTAGCAAAATTCAAGACGTCTCTTCAATGTGTGTGGCAACGTTTTTAAGTTCAGGGCATTGATACATTAGAGCTCCACTGGGTGTTCATACTTTCAGACAGACAGAGGTGACATTGGAAGGCTTGGACCAACGATATATTATGACGCCGAGATGCTGCAGATTGCAGTATTTGGATACCAGTGAGGAGTTCGTCGTCGTCTGCGAGCTTTCAGCACATATTGCGGCAATTGTCCGACTCTAGTCTTAGAATAAGCCTGCTGCTGGTACTGGGTGGACGTCAAGAGCTCACTAGATGTAGTTCAGCAAAGGAGGGTCATTCGCTGCCGGTGGATATTGCTGGTGACAATCTCCTTGAAGCATAAGAACCGCCGACTGGTAGCTGGTAAACTCCGGCTTCTGCAGAGGTCGAGGCTGTCAGCAAGTGCCCAAAGCAAATTTCGTTCTGGTCCACAAAGGCGATGCGTGCTCTATTCCTTCCAGGGTTAACGTATCCGCCATTGAGAGAAACTGGATCACATTGAATGCCTTCTGGAGTTACCAAGTCGACTTTACCAGTACCCCGACATCTGTCGAACACCGAGCACTGCTTCTCCTTGCTCTTGTCCTAAGGATAGCGATCTTCATGAGGGTATCTGCAGCGTGACACGGCTTCACGTTTGCCATTTTGTAAGTTGCATTCCTCACCGCAGTTGTCCAAGATCATGAGGCCGACTCGGTACCTTTCGACACCTTTCGTTGCCAAAGCAGCAACACTCGCCGGTTTGTTGCTACCTGAAGCAACAGGTACACCGTTCGCAAACAATCCGGTGACCATCGTCTCCAGTGCTACGTCACTTTCGCACACCAGTCCTGCCTTCGGTGGTATTGCCCCTGGTACGGACTTGAGTGTCCTCACGTACGAGGTTACCGAATACAAGGTCACCACGTTCCACAGCTCCAACAGCAGCTCTACCACGAGCACAACCACTACAAACAACGGTGGCAAGAAGAGTACCACCACCTCGACTACTTCCAAGAGCTCATCCTCTACCAAACAGTCCGCTGTGTACAAGAGTTCCAAGGGTTCAGTCGTTAGCAATGGATCCATGTTGGGCCTTGTCCATGAACGCGCATTGGAAGAAACCACGTCGGATATCCAGAAGCTGGAAAGCCACTTTGGTACGTCTTTGGAGCTCAATGTGAACAACTTGGCCTCCAATGCGGCATACTACGTCATGCCGTGGCCCAGTAGCTACTGGGCTATCTATCTCGACGGTATCAACTACCGTTGGAAATCCGCTAGCGAGCCTAGTGCCACTGAGAAGTATGCCAGTGCCTTCGGTCTGGATCCGGATGCATTAATGGCGAGCGTCTCGAAATCCACTGGAGTCGAATCGATGGCTGCGTCTAGTACTTCGTGCTGGACGAACTGGGACTGTGCTAGCAAAGGCGATGGCAGCGTTTGTGCTCGACGTGATGGAGAGGCTCGAGGCTACTGTATCCCGACCTGGTACGGCATCTGCCATGCCTGGGCTCCAGCAGCTCTACTTGAACCCGAACCGAACTGTGCTGTCGACTACAATGGTGTAACGTTCCAGCCGATGGACATCAAAGCTCTGATATCTGAGGTCTACGATGGATCGAGCCTCGCTACAGTCTTCACCGGTGCACGATTCTACGGGCCTGATAGCGGTGACAGCACTGACGAGTATGGTCGCTATTCTGATTCCTCGCGTCGCGATATCGGTCCAGGCTTCATGCACGTCGCGCTAGCCAACATCATCGGGCGGTTCAACGCTTCTGTTGTCATGGACGTCACCGCCGGTGCGGAGGTCTGGAATCAGCCCATTTACAGCTACAAGGTGCTCACTCAAAGGGAAATGACACCTAGCGACGCTGCTAACCAGTACTTTCAAGTACCGACGTACCCGTTCAACAACGAAGCTCAACGGATCATGTACGTGGAGACCACAGTGTCTTGGATGGTTGAGACTTTCGAAGACGGGGGACTTGTGAGTTCTGGTAGAGCTTCGAAGTATGAGAACAGCAAGACGTACAAGTACCTCCTTGAACTCGACAACGACTACAACATCCTTGGTGGGGAGTGGGTGGAAGACTCGCAGTCGGATCATCCTGACTTTCTCTGGCTTCCTAAGGCCCGTCCGGACCTGAGTCTTGTCACGGAAGTGGGGCTTAGTTACCAGAACGTCCGGATGCTGCTCGATAGGGCCACAAACTGTGCGTAGTGTAGCGTAAGGTGTCACTTGTCGGTGTCTATCTGTTGATTGTTGCAAAAATCTCATGCGTACGTCTATTCATGCCAACCTACACGACCCAGTTCCCCATTTTCTAGTGCTCAGCAGCATTTCTTTTTCTTCTTTCCACTGTGGTGGTCTCGTGAGGTCTCGTCTAGTTCATCACGGTCGCTTTTCTTCTTCCTCTTGTGCGAACTCGATGAAGACGAGCGACTGCTGCTCTCTTTGCTATACATGACGAACTTGTCCTTCTGGTTGAGCTCAGTGGCCAATGCTGCCAACTCCGGATTGTGCGTCTCCAGTTTTTTCAGCCACTTGACGGCCATGCGCTTACGACCGCTGCGAGTCTTGCGCCACACGGCGGGGAAGTTCTGAGAACTGCAGAAGTTCTGCGTGACTGCCACCGTATCGTCCACGTTGAACACAGCATGCCACCAGCCACCGGGGATAAACACCGTCTCACCGGGATACTGCATGAACTCGATGCACTGCAGAGTCTCCGGCGCGTTAGCACGCTTAATTCGCGGTAGTAAGTCCATAAAGTAGTTGACTGCCTCGTCGTCCTCGTCACCACGGATATGTTTCTTACCATTCACGAGGTTCTTGGGTAAGTGCGGCGGGAAAAGCACCCAGCGCTTGCGTCCGACGATCAGAGTGTTCCATGCACTGGTACCAAGTGGGTCCAAGTGTAATGTGGTTCCAGAGCGCTTAGGTCCGACCAGGAACCAGCGATACGGCGGTCGTCTGTCCTCGCCGACCAATGAGAACAGATCTTCTGGAAAGTATTTGGGCACTTTATAGTCGTCCAATAATGGTTTGGTGTCCTTGTGATCATCAAACGTGCTGTCGAAGATGTAGAGCGGACTATCATCTGTCTGGTTGTTCATGTACGTCACGAAGTACTTGAACTTCATTCGAATAGACTTGCCGTAGTCATCCTCGCCGCATTTCAGTTGCACTCGCTTGTAGTTTTTCCTCAGTTTCTTCATTGACCAGTGCTTTAAGGCACCCCATCCGTCAGCTTCTGGTACTCCGTCGATAACCAGAGGCACAGCTGGACGTTCGTACTCGTCAATGAACCGCTTCACACTCAATTCACTGCAATGTTCACGCTTAATTGGATTGGACTCGTCCAGTGGCAAGTCGCACACATTTGAACCTGCGAATCCCTCGCGATTCCAGGCCTCCGGGTCGATATCTACCACCAAAATCATCGACAGTTATAAACCCAAAGAGTCTTAGCTATTAGTAGGTGCAATACCAGATCGATGCTTCTTCTTGGCGCTGTATAGCGCACGCTCGACTTTCTCGGGATACACAGGAGCTGGCACCGGCGGGAAGCGTGGGATAGTCGACGTGGGGTACGTGTCCGAGTCATCACTGTCGGAAGACGAAGACGACGATGACGACGAGTCCGATGAATCCGATGACGACGAAGTGACTGAAGGCGAGCACCGGAACTTTTTCTTGCTCTGCATGGCCATAGCTCGTGTTATTCGCGACTGTAGATCGATGGCGCGCTTACAGCACCAGAGACTTTGGCATAGGACAGGAATCAGAAATGAGCCACACCAGAGCCACACAAACTGAAGTGTGGGTCACTATTTTTCCCTCATTACACTGGCATTTCTATGTAAGAACACTTCAACTCGTTACATCTCCTTACAAGAGCACCTGAATGACTCCCCTTGCAGCATACATTGTTTCAGTCAAGACCTCGATATCCATGGACTACTCGGTGTCGACGCAGACGTACGTCAAGCTGGTGCTTCATGCAGCCAAGCGGCCCGCGAACGCTGTGTGTGGCCTGCTGCTAGGCACAGAGCAAGGTCAGGGCTTCTCCATCTCGGACGCTGTGCCGCTATTCCACCACGAGGCGCCGCTGGCTCCGCTATTGGAAGTGGCATGCGCCATGGTGGACGCGTATTGCCAAAAGAGTCAAAAGTTGCAGATCGTGGGCCTCTACTATTCCGGAAGCGGGTACTCTCCATCTGATTCTGGCAATGGACTCAGCCACTTCGCCGAGAAGGTTGCGGACAAGGTGGAGCAGAACTGTTCGAGAGCTTGCGTCTTGGTGGTGCGTTCGTCTATCAGCTCTTGTGGCAGCTACTTGTAGTTTACATTGATGTTTATAATGTGGTGAACTAGCTGGACAACCAGCAGCTTAGCAGTGAGTCCAAGACGGGGCTTCAGATCCTGCTGAAGGACGTGAAACGTGGCTGGACGAAGGTAGAGAACCGACTGAAGGTGGCGGATGGGGCGACCAAGACGGTGACTCAAGGACTGAAGCAGAGTGTGCAAGAGGACGTCGTGGACTTTGAGGAGCACTTGGAAGACCCTAGTAAGGACTGGCGGAACCCTCATGTGGTGGAGCTGCTCAAACTCAACGTATAGAATGATACAGACGCAGGAGACTCCGATTCATACAACAGTGAGCTGCTATTTGGTTTACATACAACGAGCTCTGTCTATGCTGCTCTAGAGGAGTGCATCTGTAAGCCGACGTGTTGTCTGGACGTACACTTCGTGCTGCAAGTTGGTACTCTTCTGCACAGACGACGTAGCGAGTGATCGGAGGTAGTTAGACAGCAATAGACGAGCGTTCTCCACGTCCCAGAGCAGCGGATGAGCGTGACGCAGAGCGCACGTTAGACGTCCAGCAGCTGCAAACTCGCACTGTGTCACCAGCGCACACACGACGTAGGCACCGCTGGATGTCCAGAGCGCTGACGGTCTGTCTTGCAATACAAAAGCGACAATCGACGAGTGTAGACCGTGCTGCAACAATACAGCCACGTCGAAACGCAGCAGTGTGAGCTCCATGACTGTAGACCAGGTACGAGATCCTTGTTGCAGTTGTCGTACAACTGACAAAGCGCGATCGACGTGCTTCGCTCTTAGAGCATCAAAAGGACACATCAACAGCAGTTGAATGGCGAGTTCGAGGTTGTTGGCCTCCCAGTGCACCAAGATGACCGCTTCTGTCACTTCTTCTTCGTTACTGAGCTCTGCGTAGGCGTGAGTAGCGTACCAACTCAATAGACCTGATCCCCAGACGCCCCGTGCAAAGAGAGCAGACCAGCACGTCGCGTCCTGCTCATTAGGAAGCAACGCCTTCTCCATCGCTGTGCCTACTTGGAACTGCGTCTGAACACGTGATTGAACTGCACGTTGTTGCTCTTGCTGCCACGCTGAAGCACTGCGTTGTGCAGTACCTTCAGATCCGCTACGGAGCTCATCGTGACGCACCAGTACGTTACTCAATGCCACCGTAGCCATCTCCGCAAATCTCAAAGCCTTCGGGTTGTCATCGCTAGCACACACTTCTATGAAGGCTAATAGTTCTTCAAACACAGCAGCGAAATGGTTCGAGATTTCGAGACTTGGGACTTCAAAAATGCGTAGTGCATCTTCACTTTCATCCAGCTTGTGCTTGGTCAGTAGCGCAGACCACACTGCCTTGACATGAAGCCCGAAGTGCCACTTGGCAACATCCGTGCGTCGAGTTACTAGCACGTAGCTGAGAACTGCTGCTTCTACCCAGTTGTGGTTTTCTTCCCGAGTAGCGATCAATTGTTCCCACTGAGTCAGCACTGCGTCACGCACTCCAACCACGACACTTGAGCTCTGTTCATTCTCGTCTGCTGGGGTCTGTATCTCTCCAAGCCGACTCAATCCGATCTCCTTCAGTAGTGTAGATGGTGACTGCGATAACAGCGTTACAATACGCTCGTACACTACACATGAGCTAGCCTTTCCTGCACTGCAGGTAGCTTCAAGGTAGTGCTCAAGCTCAGTCAATAGACTGCTGTTGGGAGCGCTTGCATCCGTAACCCACGACCATACAAACCGCTCCACCCAGGGAACAGTCTTTGCTCCATCGTCATGAGAATCCATACACCGCTGGACTAAATCAACCACAGCATTTTGATAGCACTGCGCTATCACATTCGTCGCAACTTCGCTACTGGCCTTGGTACCACTAGCCCGCAGTGTCAACTCCATGACGAGACTTGCAAGCTCCACAGAGGCTACACGTTGACAAAGCTCCATTAACACAGTACTGTGAAGGACTCCTTCGTTAGCGGTCTGCTGCAAAGAGTCCATTGCATACCAGGCCTTCAAACTTGATACCACAGACTGCAACGTCTGTGCCTCAGCATCGAATGCCAAGCCACTCTGATTGACTTCACTCAGCACCAAACAACACACGTTCTCTGCCAGTTCACGCTCCAGATAGTGCAGTTCCTGTTCCTTCCTCTTGAACTGTGTGGGGTCCCACGATGCAGAAGACGAAGACGAAGTGGACGATGCTGACGAAACATTTGACTGCGATCCGGAATTCTGCCACGAATTGTACTTCGTTTGGAACAGCGTGAGTGTATCTGCCACAAGCTCCACCCGTTTCTGAGGTATCAACAGTGGGCCGAAGTGCTGCAGACCACTGAGTGACTGGCCGTAGAATTCCTCTTCGACGTTCAGATGAGCCACAAACTCTGGGGGAGCCTTGTCGCTTGATCCATCAAGGAACAAATAATGAAACAGCATCAAGTGCTCGTTCGAGAGGACTGAGAGACAAGGCGCACACGACTCGTACGCGTAGACAGCCAGATCTGCAGACAATGCTCCAGTACTGTTGCCATGTTCCCTCCAGATACCCGTGAGCAGATCGTTGATGTAAATCATGACCATGGCGCTAGGAGTAACACGGTGCAGCTTGCGTAAAATCTTGGTAACAAACTTGATAGTCTTGCCGGTTAATAAAGGACGTACTGCTTCCACAGCCACCTTTCTATTGGCAATTGTATCCGTGCGTGATGAAGACAACGGTGTCAAGAGTTCAGTAGTTGTAGAAGCTGCACCGATGAGCTTGAGATCAACCGACTCCACATTGTCCAGTGAATCCCCGATATCTTTGACCTTCTTCAAACACATGAACAGCAGAGTGATCCGGTCGATTGAAGGCTTGGCCAAGGGGAAGAGAGACGACGACACGGAGTCTGTGGACTTCTGGTAAAGTCGCTTAGAGCATTCCAACACCATACGCAACACGAGCAAGACACCAACATGGTCCGTTCCATCGATCGTCTCGTACAAGCTGGGCTCTCCTGGCGTCTCTCTTTTCAGTAAGAAGTCTCCAAAGGCAATCGGTCTTTGCAGCGCTTCCTCTAAGATATCAACCTGTTCGATAGCGAATGCCTGGTCCAGCTGTTCACGACGACCCAATCGACTGGTATCGGATGGGAAGAGCAGTGCGTGTTTGATGTACGCCAACACGCAGTCATACTCGTCGATACCGTACTTGCTCGCGAACTGCCTTGAGAGATGAAAGTGTTCTTTCCTCGTGGCCAGGACCATAATCTTCTCATTCCGGTAGCTTTCATCGAGCGAGAAGCGCTCCAAATCCAACTCGGTGTTGAAGAACGTGCTCATTTGGTCTAATTCCTGTGACTTTTTCTGCGAGATCAACCGTTCATGGCAACGTTGAGCTAGCCTCAGGTAGATCTGGTATCGTTGGTCTGACACCAACAACTGGTGTTCTATCAGTTCCTCTGCTGCAGTTACATCACTCAGCGCCCCATTTTGCACTCCACCAGAGCCAACAGCTCTACGTGCCGTATCGTAAGAAGAAGACAACGTCTCGAAACGCTTTCTGCGCGATAGCAAGGCTTCCGTACTGTCTTCTGTAGTATCTTCCTTTGCATGGGCAGCTTGGAGCAAGAAGAAGTGATGCAAGCGACGCACCACGAGTTCATGTTCACTGGATACAGAGAGGACTGCATCCATGCAAAACGCTTCGAACACTTCGTCGTCAATGCAGAGGTCACTCCACAGCATTAAGTAGCTGAAACTCAGCTCCAAATACTGCTCCCAATCTCCGGATTCACTTGTCAACTCCACAGCCTCTTCCACGCACAGTTGAGTCATTTGCTGGAGGAATGACGAGACAGACTCGCTGTTGACTTGACTCTCATCTCCACCATTGTTTAGCATCACTTGGGTGAGTTGGAACCCACGCTGCAGTAAACGTATCAGGAATTGACGGTCGTTCTTCTCTTCATGCAGCAAGTCAACAACCACATTCAGCTCATTGAGAAGTACGGTTTCAGCGCTGCTTGTGGTCTTGTTTCCAGCTAGTCGGCGTTGCTCCAAATCGTTGTCTGACAAGCCTAGCTCGATCATTAAGGCCTGGATGGCTTCGATCTTCTCCAGCCACGATAGCACCAAGTCTGTCACTTGATGTGCGAACAGATCTAACGCAGATACATTGGCAGCACTGAATAGAGCAGAGCACAGCTTGCGCTTCTTACTCCACGATCCGAACGAAGATGAAGACACAAGATCCAGCACTAATGAAACCAAGTGAAGAAGCGTAAACTTGCCGCTACTGTGACTGGCTGTGACTGCGTCCACCTCGGTCGGAATGCCGTCGATAACTTGCATTGTCAAGTCGTACGCGACATCATAGTCCATACAATAGAGAGCGGCGTACGCACCTTTCATCCAGATTTCCAGCTTCTGCGAGTCAACACGCAGCAATTTGGCCAGATGCATCACAGCAGCCAGAGGTTCATTCCACACATCAGCAGTCTCTGCGAGCTCACCCTCGCCAACATGATGCTGCGCTAACCACTCTCTTGCTCGCACAGACGGTTTGTAATTGCTTGGGTTACTCACGAATACTTGGCACACAGCATCGAGTCGCGCGCTTTCCTTCTCCTCTTCTTCCTCTGGTTGGTTGGCTCGAAGTTGTGACGGCGACATTTTGACTGCTCCATACGTCAGTAAGTCCAGCAGCTCGCAAGCGTGTGCTCTATCTGTCTCTAGTGACAGCATGTCTTCATAGTGCTGTTTAGCTCCAGCAATTGCTCGGTCTCCGCCCTCCCACACTGGAAGCGATAGCAGCTGTTTAACGATGTTGATGCAGCCCAACGCAGCTTCATGGACCTTATTAGCGCTCACATCCTCCGAGTATCCGGTAACGGAGTCTAACGCCGCTCGAATCGTCATGAACAACGCATCCAGAACATGATCAACAGCCTCCACGTCAGAAGCTATCCAGTGGCTCACCAGGTTTTGAGCAGCATCAATGTAAGCTCGATCAGGTGCGAGAAGGTGCTTCAAAATGACGTCCAGGATCATTTCTTGGCTCAGTCGCTCGCCGAACGCATGTTCTTTCAACTTGACTGCATCTTGAAGCACCTCCAGCCACTGACTCCCATCAGTTTTCTCCTCGTCGTCTGAATATTCGTCAGGCAGAGCAAACTCACACATTTGTTCGAGCAATCCACGAGACCCAACACCATCTACGCTTGTTAGCATCCGATACTTGAGGCTGCTAGGCGAGGACACTACGCCATACTTGCTGAGTACATCCATAGTCACCATTAGATCTTCCATCTCGTCCACAGCCACTTGCAATTGAGCGATCTCAGGAGGATCGTTCTCCTTTCGAACAGGAAGCGACTGGAAAATCGCCCAAAGCTGCTCCACTAGGGCGAGATGGCGCTGCATGTAAAGATCTTCATCCAGATTGGGCGATTTATCACCGATGATATCCGACGCGTCAACGGCGTACACGACATCTAGCGCAGTCTCGATAAGTCGCACGTTGCTCTGGATCCATCGGTTTAATAGTTTGATCGACGGGTTACTACACTGGATCAACTGGGCTGCAAGTGTCAGCGTTCCCAATGAAGACTTGGCTGACATGGTCTTTGCCAGCCATGAGAAGAGTTCATCCAGAGCATACGTGCGATCTCGGCGCTGGGAGACGAACACTGCGTCCAAACGGTCGATAATAGGCGTGATATCTCCAGCAAATTCCTTTTCGTCAGTGCCCACCACGATCATGGCTTGATCCTGCATCGACAGCGCAGACCACTCACTCAATGGGAGCAAGCAGCAAGCCGATAAATGCAGCGGGTACACACACTTGTACAGGCTTTCTGTGTGTTGAAAGAGATCTTCCAATGGCTTCTTGGTTTCTAAAGAAGACCATCCACTCATACACTTGACTGCGAGTTTGCTGAGCTCGTAAGCGAAAGCAAGCTGACCGAACCGTGTGTCCAACTCGAGAATTCTCCTTGAAAACCACTCGCAATAAGCTGAATTCCGGTCTTCGCGTTGCACACTTGAGAACTCTTCAAACGCGGCCAGCTCTTCGTCTGTAATGTCCTGCAGTCGGTTCTCCTGGAGTAGAGTAACTGGAGTGGCCAGGTCGGTACCGTCGCCTTCTAGCACCTCTGAATTGCTCAGTGTACAGAACTGTCCTTCGTCTTCTATTTGCGTGGGAACTGCAGGCAGCAGCGTAGCGTATATTGATGGCGACACAGAAGGCGGAAGCAACTCAAGGATATTTAACCAGTGAGGGAGTAGATTCCATCCATGCCGATGGAGTAAAATAGTGAGCGCACTGACACGCCCCTCTCGGGCGAACTGCTTCGCTATCGACAAGATAGATGACGTTCTGAACAGCACATAGGTGGTTCCATCAAAGAGTTGGTCGCCTGCCATGGACGTAGTAGATACGCCCTCTTCTTCGCACAGAACCAGTCGCAGTGTTTCGAGGCGGTACAAAAATCGTTGGAGATCCACTTGCAACGACTCAGTGACAACTTCACTGCCTTCACTCAAACTTAGCCACGCATCCCACGCAAGATCAAGGATCTTCTTCATACTGGCGCTCGAATCATCGGCAACCAGATGCAAGCATTCATCAACAACCCAGTTCTTGTCCGATACAGCACGTAAATGATCCAATGCGTCCACAAACTCGTCGCGTTCCCCACGTTGAAGAATTCCATGTGGCCGTGTGTACAAAAACACAATATCCTGAAGCTCCGGGTCATTATTATCGTTCAATCGACCAGCTTGCTTTCGGTAATCCATCCATATACGACGATGAATGTCGTCAGCGTTAATGGCACTTCCACGTGTTTCGCAAAGCGCCACCGTCGCAAGAGCGTCTTCAAAGTCCTGAGCGTCCATGAGCATCTCAATAAAGGGCTCAGCTTCCAAGTTCTGGATCTGGTTCGCAGCCCAAAGATCACCAGCAATGACAAGCTCGCATGCAGTAAACGCAGCGCTGTGCTTAGCGCTCGGCGAGGTTCCATTTGCATCAAGAACAAGAGTCCGAACGTTAATATCAGCACCAATAGCAGGTCTATAGTGCCTTGCAGGGATACACACGAGGCGACCTGAAGCCCCCGAAGAAGACACACTGTCGTTATCGCTGTCACTGGTTGGTCCGGATACAGCCGCGTCCTCAGACTGAGCAATGAATCTTGAATAGATGATGCTGTTGTCAGTGAGCATGATGGCCAATAACTCTGACGTTAGCCACACAACCAGCTTCATTGCGATGCTCTGAGAGTTGACAGCTACATCTTCCACCGTTTGCCACTTCAGCACATCTGCACAAATGTCGATTTGCCGGATCGCCACTCGTCCAAAGTCGTCCACCATACTCACAAAGTTTCCATTGGGCGCCAGTGCTAAGTGACGGATAGAGCCTCGTATCACTCGAGTCTCTGTGGCTTCACCCCCAACCATCATCTTTAACGGAGCAAATAAAGTGCTCTTGACGCTATTCAGAAGACCATCACTCTCTTCTGCAACAGTTGAGATAAGATCGGTCTCGTCCTCGTTGTCTTCGTCGATTTGCTGCTTCTTGCCCTTCAAGACCATCGTGAAGTCCAGCAGCTCGCCAACGTCCTTGTTGTCCTTGTCACCCGCAACTTTCCAGACACTTAATGAAGACGCTTGTTTCTCCACTAGATCCGCGCTAGGGTCTCTCACTCCTCCGCTCACCACGAGTGTAGAGCTCTCCGGATCGTAGCACGCCGCCGTGACACCTGCATGCCACTCCGTAAGCTTCTTCACCGCCTTCATCCTAAAAATTCCAGCAGTATCTTCTGCTGCTGATGAGTTCATCGCAGCCAGTGCCAATTTGGCCAGTTGCACACTCACACTAAGCCAAACTCCGTCCTCGGACAGCACGAACAGTTTACTCCCGTTCTGCATTGGGAAGAATACATTCACGATGCTAGTCGTAGGGTTCCAATGCTTTGCAGCCAGGTACTTGGCCGGATCTACACGTAGCAGCAATGGTTGCCCGTCAGAAGCTTCAGTAGGAGCTAGCCACTCAGGACGGGTGAATATCCACATGACGCCTTCGGATTCGCCCTCTGCGCGTGAAACTCGACCGCTGACGACGAGAAACTTGAGGTCTGTACTCCACACAACTGTCCAGTCGTCATCACAGCTATCAGAAGCTTCGGAATCGCCTGGCTTGGTCAATATATCGACGAGTTCCGGGTTCTCCGCGTTGTCACCCTGTTCCGTGTTAAACACCCCCAAACGCACGCAATTCTGCACCGTTCGCGACCGCAACAGCACAGCTAGATGTGCCGAGGATGTGGCTGAAGCCACGACCTCAAAGTCGGCAGGAAGTGACGCCACAGAGCCTCGCGCGAGCTCGCGAGCCGCTAGCAGTAGCGGCTCATCCATTGTCAACGTGTCAAAAGCGAGGATCAGTTTTGATTATCCGGATATCGACTGCCGGATAATTTGGTCAAATTTGCTAATCACAAAATATTCAAAGTGGACCAAAAACATGGCGACCAAGACGCGCAAGCCGCTCGTGAGCTTCCTGCGTCTGCGCGCGCCCATCCAGGAGCAGCTCAAGATCGAGGAGGCGCTGTTCCGTGCAGACTCGAAGCGCAATTGGTTCATCTACAATGACCAACACTCGCTGCCGATGATTGTCATGGGCATCTCGGGCAAGCCGGAGCAGCTGCTGCACCAAGACGCAGTCAAGCGGTGCGTTGCAATTATTGCATTGATTGCAGTTATTAGGGTGAGATTGACGGCATGTCTACCGATTAGAGACGGCATTCCAGTGCTCAAGCGCTTCAGTGGTGGTGGCACCGTCATCGTGGACCACAATACAGTCTTCACCACCTTCATCTGCAAGCACGAGGACTTCCCACAGGTCAAACCTTTTCCGCGCGAGATCATGGCTTGGTCACAGGACTTTTACTTGCCCTTCTTCTCGCGTATCTGCAACAAGGACCTGGTACGAACAGTGTATTCATCGCTATGCTGGTTACATCGACTGAGCTGTTGTTGTCTTGCAGAAATTCTCGCTGAGAGAGGACGATTATGTGTTCAACGACCGCAAGTTTGGTGGTAACGCACAGAGTCTATCAAAGGGCCGCTGGCTGCACCACACGTCATTCCTGTGGGACTTTGACCCCAAGAATATGGAGTACCTCACCAACCCTGCGCGTCAGCCGAAGTATCGGCAGCAGCGTAGCCACCTCGAGTTCCTATGTCCACTGAAGGACGTGCTGAAAAAGGAATGCGCCAACCGCGAGAGATTCGAGAGCGAACTCCACGCGGAACTGGCGCACAACTTCGAAATCGAGGATGTGAAGCTGGAGGACGTCAAGCCAATCCTGGAGAGGGAGCACCGGAAGTCCACGCACTTCCTGGAGCTGTAAAGAGCCGACTGTCAGCTGATAGCACCGTAGAGCTCAGTCAGTTGGCAAATAGAACGAAATATGCATCATCACTTAAAAGATGTAGCCATATGAATCCAAAAAGTGGTAAGAACTACGTTTCTTGCTCGACGGCAAGAGTTCCTCAAGGTAATCACAGCCAGGAGGTTAATTGTCGGACGAGATGAGGCCTAAATAATCGTCCTTGATGGTTCCGATAGCGTTCTACAAGCAGCAACAACAACAAACACTCGTTAGACAGCCATCTCAACCAAAACAGTTAAACTGCTGCCACTCACGATCTCCGTGACGTCGACGCTGACGCCCATGATCTTGAGCCGCACACCGCAGCCCTTACGGATCTCGACTTCGCGGTCGTCCGAGATCCAGGCGTTGCTCTCGTGGTCGTAGCCGTTGTTGAGGTCAGTGGGCATGGCATGTCGGGACACGAAAACCTGCAGCGGACCCACGTCCGCGAAGAATCCGAGCTGGTTCACGACCGTCACGACGGCGTCCAGTACCTGGTTCTTAAATGGGCGGAAGAGAATGGCGCGGTAGCGGATGTTGAAACACACGAAGCCCGAGTTGTCCTGGATCACGCCCTTGCCGATATCCTCATCGCGCACCTCCGTGACCGTAATAACGTAGCCGTATTTGCCCATGGACGTGCCCTCCACCTCCTCGATCAGGCGCAGACGGATAATATCATGCAGCTTAGGCCCGAAATGCATCGGGTGCAGCAGCAAGTCGCGCGAAAGCTGCTTCAGGAAGAACATGGCGGCTACGACGAACAAGCAGCAATGAAGTGGAGCTGCAGGCGAGGACTTCAGTTTTGTGACATCAAAAAAATTGGGTCTAATTTAGTGCCATTCAGAAAATTTGGGCACAACTGCGGCTATTTGAGCACAACAGAATTTCCGACAGTGATGCCAAAGGACGAGGCAGTGGCCGTAGAGGCGGCCAAGGACGACGAGCTCAACGAGCTGCAGCAGCATCTGCAGCTTGAGGCCTTCGGTGGCAAATATCTCACGGCGCAGGAGATTCTGCTGGTGCAGCTCTTTCAATCGGCGGCCGACTCAGTCGCCTCCAGTGCTGGGGCTAATGGCGGGAATTCGGAATTGAGTGTCTCCGCTCCATCCGGTGCTTCTGCATCCCCCAAGGCTGTGAGCAAAGTCGGAGGGGCCACGCTGGGTCGCAAGACGTCTCTCAGCTCGATGGGAAAAGTTGCAGCGGGTGGCACCACGCCACCGTCCGTCACGACTCCTAAGCGACAAGTCTCGTCGGACAGAGCCCGAGTGCAGAGCTTCCTGGCTCAACGGTCTTCCGCCCCCAATAGTAATGGGTCTGGAGCCTCTGGTGGCGGAGCTGCAGGGGCTAAACCGGCCATGTCGGCAGTGGAGAGAGCTAAACTACTGATGGCCAAGAAAGCGGGTGGGGCGAGATCGACGTCGTCCACCGCAGTGAAGAGGACGAACCCCTTGACGGATATTTTGAGAGGAGGATCGGGCAGTGTTGTGGGAGGAGTGCACAGTGTCAAGAGACCGAGAAGCACCAAGAGTGACAAGCCAGGGGAGATCAAGATCCAGGGAGGACGCACGTCGATTCAACTTCCATTGGAGAGTTTCCTGAGGAATGAAGACTGGGACTCGGCCACAGGAACCCCGTTGGATCTTGTGCTGCCGGAAGTGGCGTTCGCTACGAACAATACGCTGATTATTCACGCGACGCTACCGCCGAGATCCTCCAGATGCTGCTTCAATGTCAGCACGCAGTCGAGTATGCTCAGTGGTGCGCCGTATCCTGGAACGGTGCTCTACCACTTCAATCCGCGCCGTCAGCGTGGAGGACATATCATTCAGAACAGCAATATTGACGGTCGCTGGGGCTGCTCGCAACCGCTGCCGCGGTTCCCGTTGACATTTGGTGAGCCGTTCACTCTGCGTCTGACAGTCGTGCCGACTGGTTTCCTCGTTTTCATTGAAGAAATCTTCCAAGACGAATTCAAGCATCGCGTGCCTATCCGTGAAGGCGAGAACCTCGTGCTAACGGTCCCCACTCGCGACGAGAACGGCAACCCAGAGGGTGTCATTGTGCACAGTGTGTGGTGGGGCCATGCAGAAGTTCCGCCCAATCTTGATACTCGTCGACGCGGAAGCAATGGAGGATATCGAGGTGGCGACCGTGGAGGCTATCGTGGTGGAAATCCTGGCAGAGGTGGCGACCGTTTCCACCCTGCACCTCATCCATACGAAGTCTATGTTGGCAACCTTCCACAGGGCACCTCGCGCGAAGAACTATCGTTCCTATTCCAGTACCTTGGCTACGAAACTGTGCGCATTACAGCTCGTGGGTTTGGTTTCGTGACGCTGCGTAGTGCCGAGGACATGAATCGAGCTGTCGAAGATCTAGATGGGAAAGAGTTTAACGGGATGAAGCTGCGCGTGTCGTGCGCACTACCTCCAAAATAATACTTAAGGAAGGCAGTTCTGTGGATCCTAATCCAAACAAAAGCGTTGCAACGCCCTTCTGGTGGCGCAGTTAACCTGGGTAAGCTTTGAATACCCTATTACCTAGTAAATGGTAATCGTTTCGACGAAGAACGACATCGCCACTATTAGTAAGACGTGGATAGAGGCACCAAACAAGGTTAGGGTGTACTTAAGGAGGGGTGATGCCCTCTCTGAGTTTATTGAGGCATTGCCTGTAACAGCGCAGTTTTGAGCTAAATTTGTATGGCAGGTCTAAGAACAACAAATCCAGTTATATTTCAAGGCACAATCTGGCACTGATTAGAGCACAATTGGCGATATAGATGAAGGTTGATCAAAGGACGTCAACATGACGGTCAAGTTC